GGCTCCTGTGATCTCAGCCTAGTCTCAACTCCTGGAGACTTCTGGGTCCTTACAGCACAGGTAGAAGCCAAGGCAGGTTGTCTTACAGCTGTCAGATTTGCCGTCAACAAGATTCTCCTGGGCTGATGTCAGGGAGGCCTTGGTTTATACCCAAATCCTTCCTGTTCCAGGGGAAGAGAATTTTATCTACCTGGTTAATGGGTTCCTTGTGGCCGGAAGGAAGGGCTTCCCCGTTTGAGAGGCAATAAAAGGCTGAGGCCAGAGGGCAGGGCCGACAGAGCAAACAACCAACAACAGGAAGCCCAAGGCCAAGTGAACTGGCCGACACTCTCAGAAGCCAAACAGGGTCCACTCTGAGGTCCTGTCCTCAGGATTCCCCCTGGAGCCCCCCACTCACCCATGCTGGAAGAGACAGGGACTTAACGAACATTTGTGGGATAAATGCACTTCTCTCATGAAGGACCCCCAGGAAGTGAGGTCACCTGTGGCACCAAGTCAGCAAAGGTCTCTGCCTCACTGAGCTCACTGGCCGCAGCCTCCTGGTTGCCTAGTGATTCCCTCTTGTGGTCGTGCTCTCAGCCATCCTTCCCCAGTCTTCCATCTTTCCCTAAACTGCCCACTGCTTCTGCCTGAGCTGATGAACTGAGTAGCAACCATGCCCTAAAAAGCAAGGAAATGATCAACCAGCAGTTAGGAGAAGCACAGCGGGTAACCTGTCTGTCTGTGAACTGCAGCTTCCGGGCATAAATGTTGGTCTGAGGCCTGCTGTTTGTGTCTTGAGGTTCAACTTTGCATCCTGGTTTCTCCTGACCTGGGGACTGGACTGAATACTCAGATGTGAGGGTGCACACTCACCCATGTTTGTCAGCTCCCCTTAGAACCATCTCGCTCCTCAGGAAATACATTCTGCTGTTTCCTGTTCTCAGAGAACCAACACGCCCCTCCCTGCATTTACACTGCCCACACTCGGGGATCATCCAGATTCTCTTCATCTTCAGCGGTCACAGTGCCTGCCCCCCCCCCCGTCTTAACATACTTGCGATTGTGGGTTCATTTCAAATTAGGAATACAGTTCAGCTGGCTTTGCACCACAGTTTCCGTGTGAGTGATTCCGAAATCTGGACCTGTGTGTGAAAGGTCTGGAACGTTTTGTATCGGTGTGGACACCCAGTCCCTACCTCATTCCTACCACAGCATGAAGTTTCACAAATACTGGTTGGTATACGTACTGCTACTTATGAGTGTGATTATTTTTATAAACCCACTGACACTCTCTCCACAACAGAGGAAGCCGCCCTATGTGACAAAGAAGGACCACAGTTCACAGTGCCTCAGTACAACTCAAAACTACTTACACCCAATTATTTTAACATCGGCCCTGGAAGTCAAGGTCAGCCAGGACCAAGGAAGAGGAAAGTGTAGAAAATCAAACAAAAGATAAAAATCTTAAGGTAAGACAAGAGGATTTAGAAAATTATTCATCTGAACCCATAGAACTGAAAATCAAATTGCAAGGTCAAGTATTGAAATCAGTTTTCTCCAAAAATTATCATTTTAATGGTGTGAATGCATGCATTATTATGAGTGGATTACTTAATCTTTTGGTCCCATTTTAAGAGAGGAATTGAAGCTAGTCCTGGAATCTGGGGGAAATTCTCATGATCTCCATGCAGTGGGTTTCTCCGTTTAGGAACTGCTGATCCTACAAGTGCACGGTGAAATTAAACAGTCGTTTTTTGGTGCTAACTTCTGTCATTTCCAACAGGGAAACATTCCATAAAAGCAGCAGATGTTTACAGGAAGATGAGAAAATACAGCTAAGCTGAGAGCCACATAAACGGCTTGATCAGGCATCCACTTGTTAGAAAGACCCTGTTTGCAAAGTGACAGTGTGACTGCCAAGCTCTAAGGAGACAGCCAGCTTGGGGTGCCCAAAGGCTGTAACCTACAAGCGGGCGCCACCTTGTGGACTGCGTGAGAAATGACTTCCATGGCTCTGTCCCAGAGTGGTTGCATTCATTTTTTGGCAGCTGGACCTGCACCTCTTTCTCCATTTGTCTCCATCCTGGTGCAGGAGGTCACACAAACTTTGCTTCTCAGCAGCCGGAAAAAGCTGAGAAAGAGCAGTAGCTTCTGCCACTGTGAATTTGGTTTCTTTTAGAAGGAGCCTGGGCAAAGTGCCCTCTTGTGGTAGAACTACCACATTGCAAGATTGTACATTGCTCACCTGAAAAGCTAAGACTTTTTAAAGTTTTTAAACTAGCTGGGTTCAAAAATTACAGTTAAATAGGAGAGCAGAGTACTGGTGTGTGATTGCGCAACAAGATGGTTATTTTAAAAATTTGCAAAGAAAACGTTTTTGAAGTTTTCACCAAAAGGAAATGCCTAATGTTTGAGGAGATAGGTATGTTTAACCACAATTAAACATGTATTGAAGCATTACCTTGAATCCCACTAATCTATGCAGTGATGATGTTTTCATGCATCAGATAATAATAACCTGAATAGTAGAAGGACTTGAATATTATCCTCTGGCTGGTTAATGCCTAACGATCTGTGTAACAATCTCAACTATAATATGAATATAATTTTACACTTCCTATTAGCATTACATACAAAGGATGAGAAATTCCATCTCACTACAGTCTTGCCAAACACGTTCCTACCAAGTCCCATGGCTTTCAGGGTTTTCCAGGACAGGTGTGTGGAAGCCTGAGCGAGTTCTATGAACGCTGCTCCCCTGTGTGACTCTCACATGCCACAGGAGGTGAATATTTATTTCCAGAGAGGTCAGTGATCATCAGGGTTGAGGGAGCTTGGGTGATATTTTTTTCTCAGGAGGCCCAGACAGGATCAAAAGAATCCTAGCAGAGATGAACTCTGGGTTAAAACTTTAAACTTAGTCTTAGTGGCCCCAGTAGCAAGAAGTTGTCATGCATTATACAGATCTGCGCAGCCAAATTCTTATTCTGGGGCACCAAGGCCATTTTTAGTTTTCAACTGTGATAAGCAACACAGATGATCATTCTTAGAAGCAACATTCTCACATCTCTGAAGTATTTCCTTACAGCTCAGTTACTGAAAATATAGAAGCAACCCTGTGTGCTTTCAAGAATTTCTTAGTCATCTTCAGCGTATCCTCAAATTGTTCAGAAACAAGAATCTATTTCTCTGTTTCCTTGTCTTCCATTGATAGAGTGCTGATTTATTTAAATATGGTCAAATGATAGCATGGAGGTGTTTGGATGAAGGAGATATGGTTGTTATGTATTTTTCCAAATTTTTAAAGTTTGAAATCACTTCAACATGAAATTTGCTGTCAATGAAATCTGCATCTAGAAGATTCCAGCCCCAGGAAAACAGTATAGTGGATTGTGTTCCCTACACAAAAGACCTCCATTTCAGGGTGCAGATAAAGAGGTTAGGTAGTGATCACTGGTCAGATGGCCCTGGGAAAGGGGAAGGATGGCAAGCTAGTGGATCGGCCTTCTGTCACTGTGACAAAATGCCTGGGACATATAGCTTATAAGAAGGAGGATGCTTCTTCAGGTCATTCTTTCAGTCAATGAGGCCTCGGCACATGGTATTGGGCCCATGGCTGGAGGTACCTCAGGGTGGAAGCCTGAAGAAACATACGCAGCAGAGAAAAACTGATCACCTTTGACAGCCAGAAGGAAATGAAAAGGCGGGAAAGCCTGATATCCTCAGTCTCCTTGGGTGTCTGTCTGCTGAACAGTCCCCGAGAACTTCCCTGCCACAAAGAAATGAGCTCAGAGAATATAAACATATTGTTACCAACTTAGAGTGGTGGAGAGCAGACCTCAGTGCCCCTAATGCAAGGATTGTAAGTCCAAGAGAAGCTGCACAGAACATTTCCTAGGAAACCCTGACAAATAAGGATAAATATCTTTGGAAAGTTCCAGTCCTGTAGATTTACACTACTTTTGTTCAATGAGTAATTTTGGTCTTCAAGAAAAGGCTAAATTTTAAATTATAGTTTCCCAATAAAAGTGAAGAATAATATAGTACACAAACTTCAGGAAATACACTGAAGTGTCTTTCACTAGTCATAACTTTTTCACCTCCTTTCTGTTTTCCGATATCAGGAGTAAAACATTTCCATCAGTTTCCTGGCCTTCACTGTGTGACTGAGTTGCTTTAGGACAGTGATGACCTCAGAGGAACCTGGAGCTATCAGTGCCGATTTGTTTAGTTAGAGCTCCATTCATTGTTCCTTGACTAACACAAGCATGAGGACTTTGTGGCCATAACCTAAGATTTACCTAATTAAAATATTTGTTTTGAAGAACTTTTTCTTAGTGCATGTTTGCAGGATGTAATCGTTGCACTCACGGTGGGGAGTCCGTACACACACATAGCAGAGGCAGGCTCTTGTCTCGTCCCCCATCTCCTGGGCTCCTTCCCCTTCCCGAGGACCTATGATGTCCGATATGGAACTGATGTGTTAGGAGAAAAATTTGCTATTTTGAGAGAATAAATCGCACACATGCAGAATACAAACCTGAGCAGAAGGAATAGAACCCTGTAACCTAGTGAAAATTGCTCTACACACACTGAAATATATCTACACAGTGCTTCAAATTTGCTAAATTGTTTCACAATATTTCTCATTTATTGCATAAATCTGCTGTTCTTGTAAATAAATATCAGTGTTCAGAAAACTTGAGTGTCCATGCACCTCATTCTCTGTGCAGCCCTCAGTTACAACCCCTTTACACACTAGGCATCTATAATTTAGACTAAAATTGCCAAGGGAGAGAAGTTTATTCACGTAAACATTGGGTCCCACTGAAGATTGCAGTCACAAGAAAAATTCCTTTGAGACTGGTGACGTGGTTCTTAGTTCTGGGTCTAGGTCTTAGGTCTCAGATTTCTCGAAATAAAGACATTGTATCCTGCTCTCCTTTTTCGTCTGGGAAACATCTGGACTCATTTAAACTCACAGAAGTCCGGGCTGAAGCTGAGCCAGTGCACCTGTCTTCTTCCTTGTGATCATATTTCTTTGCAGATGGCTCTGAATTTTTGTCTAATATTAATGCTCCCTGAGACCTTTTCTCCCTGCTGTGTTCCATCGATGTCTCTTCACCTTAACTATCCCACAGGTTGCCTCCTCTTTGCTGGACTGAATACGTCTAGCAATGCCGACTTTTCCATACAATCTTCCTGTGTAAAATGATCACTGTATGAACTGAAAGTACCGAGAGACAAGCAAAAACCAGGTGAGATTTGTATGAAAGAAGGAAAAGGGTTCCCCTCTATGACCTCTAGAGGGCGCGCGGTCTCCTGTGTAAGTCCTGCCAGCGCCTAAGCCTGCAGCTCTTCTAAGAACCAAATAACATTTTTCAGCTTGGAACCCACTTGGCTGCGAAAGCAATACTTCTTATTTCTGCTAATTCTATATTCTAATTATCTTACAGGTAAGTCTTTTTCAAAGGTTTAGCTGTCTGATCAGACTTAAGTCTCAGTATTTTGTTATGATGATTCCATGTCTCTTTTTCAAATATTTCCAAATGATCATTTTTCTGTCCCTAGCATTTTGTACTTCATTTTTATCTTTCGGAGTGATTTAGATGTCCAGCTTCCTGAGTCTTCTGTTTCCCTTTTTCAGCGTAATTTCCAGCCTTCATTCTGAGCTCCCAGGCTGACCCTGTATGCAGGCCTCTGTAATTCTGCCCATTCACTCTCTGTTTGCCGAAGCCTGCTTCTTCGCTTCAGGCAGAGCTGGAAGAAGGACTGCAGGAGGAGCCCGCGCTGGGCCGAGGAGGCCGCTGCAGAGACCGGGAAGCCGAGGGGTTTTCACCCTGAGAGCCTGGTGCAGGCCTCTCCGGGCTTCCTTGTCAAGGCTTTCCCAGGCCAGCGGAGGGTAATCCCGGTTTCCGATCCTGCTGGACTCCAGGCAACATGACTCAGGAACTCTGGGCCTGAGAGCCCTAGTGGTTCCCCAGGACCGTTAATCCTCCCGGAAAAGGGGTGATCTCAGCCAAGGAGACTGCACAGGCTTTGCTTACTGCTGAAAGCCCGCTAATGGACAACAAATAAAAACTACGGTGATGAGGTGATGATGACCTTAGCTGCTGCCTGGCCCTAACCTTTGCGGGGGCTGTGGAGCTCGGGCTCCTCCTTTCAAGGCCCCACTTTTATGACGCACATAAATTCTTACAGCCTTCGTTTTTTTCTAACTGATGAAGTTTTGCGGGAATTACCGAGGTAGCCTTTAACGGATTTCAACTTTGCATCGACCATTTTCCTTGGAGCCGCACAGCTACTGCTCCAGGTACACTTGGGTACAGGATGAACCCCCAGTTCTGCTGAAGAAAACACAGACTTAACTGTTGAATTTTTTAACTCTTTTTTTTTTTTTTTTGAGAAATCTTTGTTTAGCTAATATATATTGCTTCAGATGGCAATTACAGTTTCTCTTCACCTATCCTGAAAAAAATGTTTAGTCAGAAGCCTCCTAGGCTAAATAGGCATTTCTTTTGTTTTGTTGAGATACAGTCTCACTATGGCATTCAGACTGGCCTTGATCTGAATACACAGAATAGGTTAGAATATGTAAAAATCCTCTTACCTCAGCATCCTGAGTGAAGGATTACAAGCGTGCTCCTCCATCCTAAATTTGTACTATTTTTTTCACTGTCACACTGTTTGCATGATTCTGTGTGTTTTTTGCCCGTAATGTCAGTCCTACTTTTGGACCGATCGTGTTTTGTATGTAATCTAGAGAATAATTTCTGTAAATTCAGTACTGTAAAGATCTTTCTTTCAGTGAGGTGACGTGAATCGCTATGGCATGTGCTGTGATCGAAGCCCTCCTGCTCTATTGCCGCATTCTGCCCATCGCTGTGGAGAGGCTGCAGCTCCGGGGTGGGCCAGCTGGGCATCAGGGTGCCCCGCTCTCCCCCTTACCTGGCCTTGACTCCTCATGCAAGAAACCTCTCCGTCCATGTGCTATGCAAAGAAGTGACATGACATCTCCACCTCACTTCGCCACACGGAACCGAAGATGGATTTAGAGTTGGCTGGGCCCAGCACCTTCTGGCCCCCTCTGTGGTCCTCTGGGCATCATGGTGCTGGCCACGCCCTTTCCCTTTGTGTAGCTGCAACCCAGGTTCACACAGTGATGCAATTGCCCAGGAGAATAAAATGCTTAAGCTTTTAAGATTCTCTCAAAACATTTATTTAAAACTCTGTGTCCCTTAAGTAGCTTAAGTTTTTCTCATTTTCTTTGTGACTGCTAAAAAGTTTAGCACCATGAATCTACATAGTAATTTCACTGTAAATGATCCTGGTATCATTCTGAAATGTGTTCTAGATGATTCCCAGTGAGGTCTTGAAAGAAATGTTTAAAGTAAGTGATCAAAAGCTGGCTAGGCTAAATAGGCATAGTGTGAATGTGTTTTTGTCACTATTAAAATCTGAATGTAGAATTTTTTTGCAGTGTGATATGGAGTCTGTGATATCAGTTTAAGAAATCAGGCTTTCCTGGATTTAATTCTTTCATGCAGTATCTTCTTGTTGATAAGGAAAACTCAATGAATAAAGCCACAAGACTAATTCACAATCATGTCTTGTAGGCCAGGCGTCCTTTTTAAAAGGCAGGTACCACTGAGCTTCAGGATCTCAGAAGCTTGTGGGACAGACAACAAACACAACAAAGCAGTGCCGAGGTGGCTCCTGTGATCTCAGCCTGGTCGCAACTCAGGCAAACTTCTGGGTCATTACAGCAGTGGGTAGAAGCCGAGGCAAATAGCCATACAGCAGGGGGGTTTGTATATGAATAAACCTTTCCTGGGCTGATGTCAGAGAGGCCTTGGTTTATACCAAATCTTTCCTCTTCCAGAAGGGAAAAAAATTTTATCTACCTGGTCAGTGTGTTCCTTGATGCTAGAAGGAATGGGAAGCTCTAAACCTGTCACCTGTCTCATTCAAGAGGAAATAAAAGGATGAGGACAGAGTCCAGAGCCAACAAAACTAACAACAAAAAATGGGAAGCCCAAGGCCAAGCGAACTGGCCCACACATTCAGAAGCCAACACAGGGGTGGGCTCCTGACCGGAGCCGCGGGAGACAGGAGGCCAGACTCGAGCAGGATCAGCTCTCAAACTTTATTGCGTACAGCGAACCGGACCTAACAAGGTCCGCCACCCTCAACGTTGGTTCCTCTTCCGTCCATTGGGGGCAGGAACAACCTCTTATAAGGGGAAGCAGTATCCAATCACAGAGAAGCGCGCCTAACAAGCTGATAGGCTAGCGTCACAGGTAACTGGGCAGATATGACAATTTGGCGGGCTTGTTCAGGCCGGGAAGAACCCGGAATCAGGAAATGGGCGCCATCATAGGCGGCTTCCCACATCTCCCCCTTTTTTATTTATTAAAATAGGATGGTCTGTGGGTCCCTCCAAGGTGTCTATGACCTTGTTGCTGTTAGACACCTAGGAGTGGGCCTACCTTGTAGGCCGAGGCATGAGAGAATGTAGAGGTCTATACCCTGCTGTGCATCACCCTGTTTTGTGCATATCCTTGTGCCAGGACCATGCTCAAGGTGAGTGGTTCATTTTTTCGCAGGGCCAGGCTTTTGTGAACCGAACCTGGATGCATATAGACATTCATTCCTGCCTTCCCCCCAACCTTTGAGGCGGATGGCACTGCAGTACCCTTGGTCTCGCATCTCAATGCCAATAATTTGACTCCAGGAGGGACCCCTGGCCTTATAGGCCATGTATATCTGAGTGGAGCCTGTCTTAGGTTGACCGGGAGGGCTTTTCCCGTCTTACCCGTCATTGGCTTGCCCACTCAGCTCTTATAGCTGATGTTCTGCAATGTGAAGGAGATATGCGGCGGCCTGCTGGCCTGATGGGCCACCTGCTGCCATTTGCATGGCTGCCATGGCTGTGATCTTGACCTGCTGCTGAGTTTGTATGAGGCGATCTAACAAGCATTTAATAACCACAAGCCCCACTAGGATGGCCACGGCAATCAGGATCCAAGTAGTCAGGTTGGGCCAGGAGAACCAGGAGGTGACGCGTTCCCACAAACTGGCTATAACACTGCCTAAAGTTGATAAATCGAACCTGACTGGACCTAGTTGGATACCGTCCATATTGTCAAGTTCCTGACCAGTCGGTCAGGGACAAATTGTGAAACTTAGGTAGGTAGGTGTCTTGCAGCCAAGCTGTCATATTTTTAACAGTGTTGGTCAAATTTGTGCGAACAGGGGTGATTAATAGGAACCCACAGAATAGAAAAAGCTCCAAACCAGACATTTTAGTTTGTAGATGGTCTCGGGCGCTGAGCATCGGTCCCAGAAGGGTCGAGTTGACTTGTGTCCGCGGGCTTATCCTCCTGTGCTTTATCAGGAACTGGTGGGGAGTTTACTGCTCGCGTCAATCTTTCCGGGACCCACAGCGGCTCGCAACCTGGTTCCTGTGGGAAGACACAAACCGCACCTCGGGTCCAGCTAACCACTGGATCCGGGCCCATCCATTGTCCTGTAAGGACATCTTTCCATCTCACCAGCCCTTTGTCGGCCGGGGACGGGTTATTGTGCTCCATGGCAGGGGAATGATTATTATGATTAAGGTTTAAAAAATTTATGGTAAAGAGTGCCAATGATATTCTTCCTTTGGGTGTTAGGCCATGGCCTATCCCCTCTTTTTGCTTTTGTAAGACACCCTTGAGTGTCCGATGTGCCCGTTCAATGATGCCTTGTCCTTGAGGGTTATATGGAATGCCGTGCTTAAGGACAACATCCATTTGTTGACAGAATGTTACAAAAGTTTTGCTGGTGTAAGCAGGACCATTGTCTGTTTTTAATATATTGGGCTTTCCCCAAGCAGCCCAGGCTGCAAGACAATGATTAATAGCATGGGTGGCCCTTTCTCCAGGTTTTTGCCTCTAAAAGCGCCATGGTAAATGGCGCATTGGGCCCATAAGCTGAAACGGCGTCCTTGATAGCTTTAAGTTGTTTAATTTCTAAGGGCTCATAATATCCTCCTCCTCCCCTGCCTCCTACTTGTACCGGGAATGCATGGAGACCGGAACACTCAAAGGGAAGCCGCGACCATACCCTCTGGTGGAAGGAACGTCCTCCTCCCTCCCCAGATGGGGGCGCAGAAGGCAACCCAGGAAGTAGCTCTCCCTCTAACCAGGGCGGTGCCATAGGTTGTGGTGGCAGCCCAGGGAGCAACTCCTCTTCCGGCCACGGCGGTGCAGTGGGGCCTGGCGCCCTGAAAGGGGCGATCGTGGGTCGCGAACTTGCCAAAGGGCGGAAGGGCTTAAGCTCCTCCCGTAAGGCGGAGTAGCTCGGGCAGGGTGGTGTTTGGTTCCCCTTTTTATCTTCCCGAGCCCTAAGTTCCTCTCTTAACGGTGTAGGAGGGTCATGCTTAGCAAAGACGACCTCCTCTTCTGAGCCTTCCGAATCCGAATCAGAATTAGAGCCCTGAGGGTCCTCCAGAGACCCACAATCGGCAGTGGCTCCGGGCTCCTCTGAGCATTCCGATCGAGCTCTATCAAAAGCCTGTCGGGCTATATTAGCGAAGCGAAAGCAAAACAGATGCAAAGGGAAAAGAAAAGAAAAAAAAAAAAAACCGGCGTCCACTCGTGTGGCGCTCAAAATCTGTTAGGTGCGTCCACCCAACCCAGGTGACCCAGTACTCACCTGTCCCGGGAACCGCTGCATCTCACGTAGCTGATCAGGGTGAAGAGAAGAGGTGCTCGGGGCCTTCCGTTGTTATTGGGCTAGGTCCTCCGTCGTACCGCAGGCGACAGCAATCGCACCTCCCGGCCGAAGAGGCACGTCGCTGAGTCTTTTACCTTTTTCCCCGTACGGGCCACCAGATGACCGGAGCCGCGGGAGACAGGAGGCCAGACTCGAGCAGGATCAGCTCTCAAACTTTATTGCGTACAGCGAACCGGACCTAACAAGGTCCGCCACCCTCAACGTTGGTTCCTCTTCCGTCCGTTGGGGGCAGGAACAACCTCTTATAAGGGGAAGCAGTATCCAATCACAGAGAAGCGCGCCTAACAAGCTGATAGGCTAGCGTCACGGGTAACTGGGCAGATATGACAATTTGGCGGGCTTGTTCAGGCCGGGAAGAACCCGGAATCAGGAAATGGGCGCCATCATAGGCGGCTTCCCACAGGCTCCGACATCCTGGCTTCGGGACCCCACGAATGCCCGCATCCACCCACATTGGCAGAGAAGGGTCTTAATGAAGATTTGTGTCATGAAGGCACGTCTTCCATGAATCAGGTCACCTGTGGACAGAGCTCATCAAAACTCTCTGCCTCACTGAGCTCACTGGCCGCAGCCTCCTGGTTGCTTAGTGGTTTCCTCCTGTGGCTGTGGTCTCAGCCATCCTTCCCCAGTCTTCCGTCTTTCCCTAAACTCTGCCCACTGCTTCAGCCTGAGCTGATGAACTGAGTAGCTACCATGGCCCAGAAAGTGAGGAAATGAGCAACCTGCGATTGTGAGAAGCACAGCTGGTAACCTGTCCGTCTGAGATCCGGCAGCTTCTGGGTGTAAATGTTGGTTTGAAGCCTTCTGTTTGGGTCTTGAGGTCCAATGTTTCATCCTGAGTTTTTCTGACCTCAGGGCTGGACTGGACACTCAGATGTGAGGGTGCACACTCACCAGTGTTTGTCTGCTCTCCATGGAACCCATCTCCCCCCTCAGGTTATACATTCTGCTATGTTTCCTTGTCTCAGGGAACCAACACCCTCGACTCTGCACTTATGCTCAGCACCTGGGGAATCTTCACAGATTCTCTTCATCTTCAGCAGTCACAGTGTCTGCCCCCGTGTCTTAAACCACATACTTGCAGTTGTGAGTTCATTTCAAATTAGGAATACGGTCCAACTGGTTTTGCACTGAAGTTTCCTTATAAGTGATTCTGAAACCTGGACCTGTGTGAAACGTCTGGGACATTTTCTATCAATGCAGACACTCAGTCCCTACCTCGCTCCTTCCACAGCATGAAGTTTTACCAATACTGTTGGTATACTTATTGCTCCATATCAGTGTGATTCATTTTATGAACCCACTGACACTCTCTCACAACAGAGAGGGCCACCCCACGTGACAAAGGAGGACTGCCGTTCACAGTGCCTCAGTGCAACTCACAACTACTACTCACACCCCAGTATTTTAACACAGGGCCCT